TGATTGCAGTACTGATACCAGGCAGGACCACTGGCAGATGTGAAGTGGGCGTTATCGTCACTGTGAGAACTCATGATCCCCGACTCATTACGCCAAGGCTGCAGTCACACTGACTGCCTGCACCCTGGCCATCTCTTACCCAATGGCCGGCGCGACCTGCTAATACGTGATATCGCGGTCTGACCAATTGCCCTCAAGGCTGACCGAGATAGAGACAACTTTCGGCGGCCGCCCGGTTTAGTGCCACTAGACCACACTCCGGATACCGCCCCGAGCGAGGCAGACGCAGGCAGCGTCGTTGGCCGCCGTGACGACACCGCGCTCTCAGGTGGCCCTCACGGTCGAAAGCCATGCCAGACTGAGTGGAAACTTCCTCCTATCCTTTCGGCACACAATATATTATTCCAAAAACTCTGGCCTTCCCAAGATTTCTCCCATCTCCTAAGGAACCGGGCCTGGAAGATCGTACCGTTATGGTTAAACCTTCTTAGTCTTAACACACCCTTCGATAATTGGTGACCCACGACATGGGATGAAGTCTCATCCTCGGATGTACCCAAGCTCAATCATCATCCAACGTCCCTCACCTTCAATTGAATTTTTCTTATGTCATCTTATGCGACCGCGAAATGGAAAATTTCATCACCGACACCCTGTCGTGAAGCAAGATGGAGACTCTCATTCGTTCACACCATCGACTCCAGGCGATGGTTTCCGCCCATCTCACAGAGTAGTTTCTCGCTATGAGTGTCAGCACCCAGACCTCCTTTCAAAACTCGGATCCTACTTCTACTGCCAACGGTATCCCTTCTCCCTGGCACGTACTCAAGCTGGCCAATCTCCTACCAGCATGCCGATGCAAGCCTAATCGAGAACTTACCTCCTACCAACATGCAGACTCAGTGGCTCACGTAGTCGAGGTGACCTTCCCCCTACCAACGGGCACTAACGGCACTAACACGACCCAGGCATGCAAACCACAGAAAGTCATGCAAGTCACAACCGTTCCTTCAACCTGGCTCACATAAGCCAGCAGCACGAACACCAGCTGTTCAACCCTTAGTACGTTCAACCGTTAGTACGTTCCGCGAGGGCAGTAAAGAGTGGGAAACGACCAATCAGCACGTGGGACGCCGTAGATCAACACGTTCCAGATCGCCCATCGCA